TTTTAAAGTGTACTTGAACATTTTATTTATCACAATTTTGGTTAAAAATTCTCGACTTTGTATGTGTCGATGGAGGCAGGTGATCACATCACTTCTTTCCTCTGAATATGCCAGTGCTTTTAGGGTTTGCAAGTTTGATGTTTGAATAAATGGTTTTGAAAACCAACTAGTTGATAAATGAGACACTTGTGCAACATTTCGATATCTTTATTCTGGAATAAAGGTACCCAAATGTTGCACAAGTGTCTCATTAATCACATTTGAGGTTGATGTTTCATCATGTTATATTTTGTTATACTATGTTGAAATCTTAAATAAAAACTATACTTATATACTGGTAACCATGTAATGATGAATAATTCTGTGATTATAAAATAAATGAAAGCCTAATGATTTTCTTAGGCTATTTCATCATGTTGCTGTTTCCACATTGAACCTTAGTGCAATAAGAGAGTAATCTTTTTTTTATATATTGCCTTCTTTTATTGTTTGTAATTCTGCATTTAACAGATAATATATCAGAAAAAATGACCTTTGTAGTTATAGCGCTTCATTTTGATTATAATATCAGAAAACTCCATTTGCTTAAAAATTTCTTTATTAATTGATAAAGTTTTATATATTTTTCAAAGTGCATTACAGTATTTTTAGTTAAGGGTCTTTCTGATGGTGTTATCCATGGCTAATGATTACAGGCAGCTACCCTTGTGGGTTCAGCACTTAGTTTTGATTATAAAACAGACAGCTAGTTCCTTCACAGAGTACAAGTTTACTTTCTTTTTGCTGCTTTCCTCACTGCCATTGTCTGCCTAATCATTTATTGTAGGCTCTCAAAGTGCATTTTGTGCAGTTCAAACCTTTGACTCTTTACATCCTATGGTTGTCCACATTCATTGATGATTGTGTGCTGCATTTTGTGCTTTCTTTTGTTGGGTCCATAGCTATTCAGGACCTTTTAACCCTTTCAGGGTCCGTCCCGTAGATCTACGGCTTTTTGGTGAGTGTCCAAACCGTAGATCTACGCCAAAATTCTAGCGCCGTCAAATTTAGCGCGAAAGCGCTCATAGGCCTACATGTGAGAGAATGGGTCTGCGCCATGGGTGTGCGCCATAAACAAAAAATCTAGGCGCCTGCATACCATTGTGGGAACGCCGGCTCAGTCACCCTTGTTCACCAGGCCTCGTCGCAATCAGCTCTCCTCCCCGAAAATTGGGACTCTCTTTCCTGTTATAGTTCTGACA